CGCTGCTGTCGCAGGCTCTGGGCCGGGTGTGGCGGAGCTCCGGCAGTAGCGCCCGCCATGCGCCCCCGAGCCGCGCCATGGAGCACGACAGGGCCATGGAGGTCTACGGTGACTGCCGGGGGGCGCGAGGGCCGCGGGGGGAGCCCCGGGGATGGTCCCGGTTTGCCCTTGGGGGCCTGAGGGGAGGAAGCGCGGCGGGTCCTGAGGGGCTCGGAGCCGTGAGGGGGCCCCGAGGGGCCGGGCAGGGGGAAAGGGCCGCGTTTGGCTCATTGGGCTCCTTTGTTGTGGCTTCCAGAGTGGAACGCCAGCAGCGCTGGGAGGGGGCTGCTCACGAAAATACCTTTTTATGGAATGCGGGGAGATTCCTTATTGCTGCTGGCTTGTCTCGTGCCTCAGATATAATCCGGACTATCCGGGACCCGGAGAAGCCCAACACTTTGGAAGAACTGGAAGTGGTGACGGAAAGCTGCGTGGAAGTGCAGGAGATAGGGGAGGATGAGTATCTGGTCATCATCAGGTTTACACCGACAGTACCTCACTGCTCCCTGGCCACTCTCATCGGTGAGGGTCCTTTAGATAAACCAGAAACCAGGAGCACACGGCTAACTCCAGCTTGTCTCAGTCAGTCTTGCCTGGCTGTGCTGGCTGGACCAGGAATTGCATCTTGAGAACCCAACCACCAGTGCAACCAAACCAAAACCCAAACCAAACCAAGAGAAAAAAACCCCAAATCCAGAGAAATGGGGACACCCATCTGTTTGTGTCGTGTTAGGGAATCCCTTCAAAGAGAACCTCTAAAAACTCTGCTGGGAAGTGGTACAGAATTCCTTCTTTGTATTCTCCAAGTTACTTCATTAATTTTATTAAATGACAATTTGACAGCTCTTAAATTTAAAGCAACCACAAAATGACAACTTTCTGCTTGTTCCCTTTCCCTCCGTGGCTCGTGCTGCTCAGAATACAAAAGGACATTGTTAGTTACACTGGTTGTTAGACATGGAAATGCACCCCAGACCTTGAATTTTACAGGAAAATCTCTTTTGTGTTCTGTTTTAACAGGCCTCTGTTTAAGAATAAAACTTCAGAGATGTTTGCCTTTTAGAC